TCCCCAAGGAAAATGCCTACCTCGAATAGGACTCCAGCTGACTTGATACTGCTGGGGTGCAATTTTGCCTTATCAGTGAATGAGTTTAACCGATGCACCAAAAAAGAAAGGTATGTTGTAAATGTTGTTTGCTTATGTGACTAAATCACTAGAGAAAGAATTGAACAAATAGTTATTCATACGCGATCAAAGCGGCCCACGGGTCCGACGAAAAGCGCAGATAGGAAATGTGCGACTTTGGAATCTGTGGGACTATTGATTTAAATGGTTTTCAAATAGACAGCAACCTTACGGCTCCGATCTCTGGGAGAAAAACCAAATAGCTCTTCGAAAAGCATTCATAGATTGACGGAAAATTGTGACATCTCTCCAAGTACCAAATACCTATAATTGCCATTCTCATCCGTTGCATTCGGCTTGAGTGTAAGTACTTCAGTTACGCAGAAATTTTCGATGAGATGATAATATGTGTGCCTAAACTCAGAGGCTCGCCCATATTTTTCACTTGACAAATTGTGCTTGAACGCTTGAATAGTCCCACAGAACACAGAAATTTAAGGAAAACACATATTCACATTTAGAGTATCAAGCTTGGATTAGCCCATTGGATTGTTCAGAGGCCTTCGGTTTGGGTTTCACCCCTTGGGAGATCGTTAATTCCCCACTGCTAATGAGTCCCAAACAGGACGAAACAGCTACCCAGTGCTCTATGTTGGTTATCACAAAACACTTCCATCACATATTTAGATATTTGCTCAAATCTACAAACAGCCTGCAAGGAAATTCGCTCCTCATTCAGGGTGAGTCAATGTTTGTGTGTGGGTGTGCGTAAAGTTTGGAATCCACAATCACTTTGAATTTCAAATCTTGGAGTGCCTGTCTCCTTCATCCTAGCTTCAATTCTTATCCGGCTCCAGACGAATGAGGCCTGTTGAAAAAGTTCTTCCCTAGAACATGCAAATCACCTCCCAGTCGGTTCAATGTGTGGATAAGAGATATCGGCGTCGATTCCCAACCGAAGCATTACGCAATGTTCTCCGGGTGATCTCCACACTACTGACTATGTCTATCCTACCAGATGCTCACAAACCATTCATGCCCAAACGCAAACTGTCTCGGTATATCTATTTGTGCACGATGAATAGATAAGACCGATAAATTGCCCTGGTAACCAATTCTAAAGGAACACGTCTCTAAAGAACCGTGTTACCTATTGTCTAAAGGGTACATAAACCAATACACCAGAACTTATCTAACCGTGAACATCCGTTCGGTAAAGCATAGACTACGTCTGTAAGCAACCTGTTTTTTTTAAGCGTGCACTGCTCGTATGGAGAACAATACCATTCTAAGTTATGTTTTTTTTAGATACTTTGTGATTCTCAGAAAGATAAGGAAAGATTCTCTCTTCCATTAAACTGTACATACTTACCTCGGTTCCTGTCAAGTACAACTTAGTGCCCAGAAAAATCGACCAAATTTTCATGGTTTCGGGCAACGAATTTCGATAGTCTTCTTTCAGTGCGTCCTGTTCACAACAGTATTAGTTTCCTCAACCCGATAATATAAACTTACGTATCGTGAATCGAAAACAATGCGTATTAGACCGGTGCGCAGATCCAACGCCGCGCCTTCGATCATTATGATCCGGGAACGTTCTTCCGGTGTTTGGCTCACTACACAGGGACGAGAGTGTCAGGGTTGGATGCAAGTGCGAGAGGAATGGAGAACGTACCCATTGCATGTTTCTCAGCCAAATAACGCAGAATAGCCGAAGACTGTGTTATTTTTAAATCACCATCAATGTAGTAAGGGAGCTTCGGAGGACGAGAGTGTGAGGTTAGTTCAAACGTATATCATTGATTTCAATTTTTGTTGTTGTTTGAATGAAACTCACATTCGGCAATTCTAATCCCAGGGAATACTTTTGTGCTTTCCATTTCTCAATATCGTCGTGACCGTATAGGCGATCTTCATACGCTTCTCCAAGGTACTCCAGGAACAAGCGAACAGCTTGTCCTATCTGTAGAATTCACAGAAATTAACAATAGACAGAACAGACAAATGTGAAGTGTTTGCATCGAGATACTTTGTCCTTATTCCTCGCGCGATGTTAAACCATGACGCACAAGTGTCTAATGAACAAGTTTTAGTATGTAAAAGAAATTCCATGTTCCCTCCGTAGTCGGCCATTATCCTTACACTGACGAAGAGACAGTGATAACTAATTTGCAGCTGATCTTTTAGGTTGCGTTTACTCTCAGTCGGTAATTCACTCTACCAACGCTTAAGCATCACAGAATTCATTACTCCTATGTGGGTTCGAGAAACACGATTGATCGGGTTCATTCATTGATCGATCGGATGCACCGACTGTAACACGGGACATAATGTTTGCCCAGGTAGCGCAGGCAATCGCTTCGAGAATTAAATAACCCAGTGAACTTCATCTGTGCACAGAAGGAGTACCATCATCACACAGCTGGACAACAAGTGACAACAGGAGTTGCCCAAACTGGAAGTAGAGCTTCTTCGTGACGAATTTGGATAGAGAAACCAAAAACACAGGTCTGCACAATGTATGGAATGCACCATCCCCAACTGTGTGGGTAGTGTGAATGGCTTATCACTCTGGCACTATCTACGTAAAAAAATGTGTAGGTGATTTTGATCGCAATCTTTTTCAGTCTATGGTTCTGTAATTTTTGGCCGTATATTAATGATCTCTTGAACTACAGATGCAGCGCAATGGTCCAGTATCATAAACATTACGAACCGGTGATCAGAGAGTTTCGTGTCAGGTAGAGGGATTACAGGTTGTGCAAATCGCGGGAACTTATCCACTCAAACCGGAAAGAGAGTCACGGGAGGGAGCAATTTACACGGTAAAGTCATGAGTGAGAGGGACAGGACGACGTGAAACGATGAAGCAATCCCATAATCAGTGAAACAGAATAAACAAACTTGTTTTCAGTGAATTGTAATCATTTCGGTGTATCACCGCAGTTCATCATCGTTTCGTCCTCACACGCGACCCTGTGTGATAATCCTGGCCTACGAGCGACACGTTACAGTTTTCGGACAACTGTGATCAATCAAGCCTCCCAGGTTTCGTCAGCAAATCGCCTACACCTTACAGCTTGTGGGCTATAAACCATAGGTCGATTGTACTGACCAGTCAGAAGCCGTGTGGCCCAGACAGAAGTTGAACAACACCAGAAATACTAG